TCCTGCATGCTTGAGAATGGCTATAAGACGAATGAATGTGATAAGTGCATATATTACAAAACTTGTGAGAATGCACATGTTATTATTAGCCTATATGTGGATGATCTACGTATCTTTGGCTCTAATTTGCATCTCATAAATGAAACTAAAAATATTCTTAATTGCCAATTTGATATGAAAGATCTTGGTGAAGCCAATTTTATTTTGGGAATTAAAATTACCAAGACTAACAATGGCATTTTTCTTGATCAGTAGGATTATGTTGAGAAAGTTTTAAAGAAATATAACTTTCTAGACTGTAAACATGTTGCTACATCTTTTGATGCAAGCATACATTTATCTGTTGTAACAAATGAAAAAGAAGTGATTAATCAAAAGGAATATGCTAGCATGATTGGTAGTTTGAGATATGCTACTGACTGTACTAGACCTGACATTGCATATGCTGTTGGAGTACTTAGCAAGTTTACTAGCAAACCAAGTCAAGATCATTGGCTAGCCATGAGAAGAATTATGAAATATTTATCTGGGACCAAAAATTATGGTTTGTTTTATAACAAGTATCCTGCGGTACTTGAGGGATATAGTGATTCCGATTGGAACACTTTGTCAGGTGATTTCTCTCTACCTCGGGTTTTATTTTTCCCTTGGGTGGTGGTATATGTTGGAAGTATAAAAAACAGACTATAATTGCTAATTTTACAATGGAAGCTGAGCTTATAGCGTTAGCTTCAGCATGTTATGAAGCGAATTGGTTGAGAGATTTGTTACGTGAAATTCCTTTTTGGGAAAAACCAATTCCCCCTGTGTTAATTCGTTGTGATAGCACTGCTGCTATTGGTAGAGTGAATAACCATTTTTATAATGGTAAATCCAAACCTATTCAAAGGAAACACAGTAATGTGAGATCCTATTTGAGTAATGGCATCAAAACTGTGAATTATGTAAAATCTTGTGATAATGTTGCAGATCCGTTAACCAAGGCCTTGGTGAGAGATAGTGTTTGGAATACATCGAGGGGGATGGGTTTAAAGCCTGTAAAATCATAATCTATGTATGAGGATACCCAACCTAGGGACCAGAGATCCTGTAACTAGGTTCAATAGGAAGAACGAATCATATGGTGGTTGTAAAAATGCATTCTTTAATATTTTGTTATCCATCCCTATGATGTAAGTGCATTTGTGCTGTAATGTTGGAGGGTTGAGTTTTTATACTTTTAATGAAGTTATGTAACTCTTGTTGAGTGGGGTGTGTCAATTACGGGAACATCCTTGATAGCTTTCACCTATGTGAGCATGAAAGTGGGGCCGCTTTCTATGAGAACAAGGCTTATTCTCAAATATGCTCATGAAAACTGGGATTAGCACAAGGCCGTAATGTGCTGGCTAGTTGGTGTGTGTTGTTGTAGAAAAGAGTAGACGAGAGGGACTATTTATAGGCCACTAGGACCTTACAAGTTAAACCCAAAATAATGATGATCATTAAACCAGAGAAAATGGAGTAACTCCAAAAACTAACTCACTACCAAGTAATTTTTTTTAGTATTTTCACCAACAATTTAAAGGAGATCAAACATGGAACAAGTACCAGAAAAAATCAATGATGGAATTGGATATCTCAACAAGCATTTCAAGTTCAAGGGAATTCATTTTAAGAGGTGGAAAGGAAAATTTCTTTTTTAGCTCAGCCTTTTGAAAGTTACATATGTTCTTACTGAGAAGAAGCCAAACAAAATCCCAACCAAGGAGATGAATGATGAAGACTACGAGGCACATGAAGCAAAAGTGGCTTCTTACAATACAAATGATTATAAATGTCATTTTTATCTCTTAAATTTCCTTACTGATTAATTTTATGATTATTACTATGACATCACTTACACTTTGTCTTCTATTAATTTTTGGCATGCTCGTTTGTGTCATATTAACAGTAAATATGTGGGAATCATGAGTAGTTTAGGATTAATTCCTAAAGTGACAAAATTTTTTGAGAAATGTGAAGTTTGCAGGAAAGCAAAAATTACCAAGAGGCCTCATAAAAGTGTTGAAAAAAATACCGAATTACTAGAATTATTTCATACTGATTTGTGTGAGTTTGAAGGAATTTTAACTCAGGGTGGTAACCGATATTTTATCACATTTATTGATGATTTTTCAAAAATAAACAGACATATATTTATTAAAAAATAAAAGTGATGCTTTTGAGAAATTTAAAGAATTCCTTCTTGAAGTGGAAAATCAATTCGGTAAAAAGATTAAAAGAATTAGAAGGGATAGAAGCAGGGAGTATGAATCTCTTGGATTCAACTCTTTTGTTCAGTCTTTGGGAATCATTTATGAGACTACTCCACCATATTCACCTTCATCTAATGGCGTAGTTGAAAGAAAAAACAGAACGTTAATTGACTTGACGAATGTATGCTTATTGATCTAGGTGTTCCCTCAAATCTTTGGGGCGAGGCTATTTTGACAACTTGTCATGTGATAAATAGAGTGCCACACAAAAAGACTAAAATTGTACCATATGAGTTGTGGCGGGGCATAAACCAAATCTAGGTTATTTGAGGGTTTGGGGTTATTTAGCTTTTGTGAGGCTTACAGATCCAAAACGACCTAAATTGGGTAAACGAGCTACCAGCTGTGCTTTTCTTGGATATGCATTGCATAGTACAACTTACAGATTTTTTGATATGGAAAATAATATTATTTTTGAATCAAGTGATGCTATTTTTCATGAAAAAAATTTCCTTTCAAATCTAGAAATAGTGGGGGTCAAATAATTTCTGAAAATATTTTATCCATGCCTAGCTCTTCTACGCCTTCTCAAGTTTTTCAAGAACAAGAAAATTTTTAAATCCAACCAAGAAGAAGTAAACGAGCTAGAGTTGAAAAAGATTTTGGCCCTGACTATTAGCTTTACAATGTGGAAGAAATTCCTGTTACGCTGCAAGAAGCTTTATCATCACCTGATACTATTTTCTGGAAAGAGGCTATAACTGATAAGATAGATTTACTACTTTCAAATAAAACATGGAAGCTAGTGGATTTACCTCTAGGTTGTAAAACTATTGGGTGTAAATGGGTCATTCGTAAAAAACTTAAACCGGATGGAACTATAGATAAATATAAAGCAAGGCTTGTCGCTAAAGGTTTTAAGAAACAAGTTGATCTTGATTTTTTTGATACTTTTTCAACGGTTACTAGAGTTACATCCATTAGATTGTTGATAGCAGTGGCTGCAATTCATGATTTAAAACTTTATCAAATGGATGTGAAAACAACATTTTTAAATGGAGATCTAGATGAAGAGATTTATATAGACCAACCCGAAGGCTTTGTAGAACCTGGCCAAGAAAGTAAGGTGTGTAAGCTAACTAAATCCCTTTATGGTTTAAAACAAGCTCCTAAACAGTGGCATGAGAAATTTGATTCCTGCATGCTTGAGAATGACTATAAGACTAATGAATGTGAAAAGTGCATATATTATAAAATTTGTGAGAATGCACATATGATTATTAACCTATATGTGGATGATCTACTTATTTTTTGCTCCAATTTGCATATTATAAATGAGACTAAAAATATGCTTAATAGCCACTTTGACATGAATGATCTTGGTGAAGCCAATTTTATTTTGGGAATTAAAATTACCAAGACTAATGATGGTATTTTTCTTGATCAGTAGCATTATGTTGAGAAAATTTTAAAGAAATATAATTTTCTAGCTTGTAAACATGTTGCTACTCTTTTTGATGCAAACATACATTTATCTGTTGTAGCAAATGAAAAAGAAGCGATTAATAAAAAGGAATATGTTAACATGATTGGTAGTTTGAGATATGCTACTGACTGTACTAGACCTGACATTGCATATGCTGTTGGAGTACTTAGCAGGTTTACTAGCAAACCAAGTCGAGATCATTGCTTAGCCGTGGAAAGAATTATAAGATATTTATCTGGTACCAAAAATTATGGTTTGTCTTATAACAAGTATCCTGCGGTACTTGAGAGATATAGTGATGTCGATTTGAACACTTTGTCAGGTGATTTTCTCTCTATCTCGGGTTTTATTTTACCTTGGGTGGTCGTGCTATATGTTGGAAGTCTAAAAAGCATACTATAATTGCTAATTCTACAATGGAAGCTGAGCTTATAGCGTTAGGTTCAGCATGTTATGAAGCGAATTGGTTGAGAGATTTGTTACGTGAAAATCCTTTTTGGGAAAAACCAATTCCCCCTGTGTTAATTCGTTGTGATAGCACTGCTGCTATTGGTAGAGTGAACATCCATTTTTATAATGGTAAATCCAGACCTATTCGAAGGAAACACAGTAATGTGAGATCTTATTTAAGTAATGGCATCATAACTGTGAATTATGTAAGATCTTGTGATAATCTTGCGGATCCGTTAACCAAGGCCTTGGCGAGAGATAGGGTCTGGAATATATCGAGGGGGATGGGTTTGTAGCCAATAAAATCATAAACTATGTATGAGGATACCCAACCTAGGGACCAGAGATCCTATAACTAGGTTCAATGGGAAGAACAAATCATATGGTGGTTGTAAAAATGCACTCTTTAATATTTTGTTATCCATCCCTATGATGTAAGTGCATTTGTCCAGTAATGTTGGAGGGTTTAGTTTTTATACTCTTAATGAAAGTCTGTAGCTCTTGTTGAGCGGGGTGAGTAAATTACATGAACATCCTTGCTGGATTTCACCTATGTGAGCAGGAAAGTGGGGCCGCTTTTTATGAGAACAAGGTTTATTCTCAAATATGCTCATGAAAACTGGGATAAGCACAAGGTTGTAATGTGCTGGCTATTAAAGCTCATGTCAACACCTAGATTATTATGTGTGAGTAGTAATACTTTATTTTCCTTAGGCAGTCATAGTTCTAGTCTTAGACCACTACTGACTCTGGAGTAGAGGTTGCTGTTTCACTACTAAAGGTTCAATGCAAGGTTGAGTTTTTATACTCTTAATGAAATTCTGTAGCTCTTATTGAGTGGGGTGTGTCAATTACGGGAACATTCTTGACAGATTTCGCCAATGTAAGCATGAAAGTGGGGCCGCTTTCTATGAGAGCAAGGCTTATTCTCAAATATGTTCATGAAAACTGGGATTAACACAAGGCCATAATGGGCTGGCTAGTAAAGCTCACGTCAACACCTGGACTATTATGTGTGAGCAGTAATATTTTATTTCCCTTAAGCAGTCATAGTTTAAGTCTGAGACCACTACTGACTATGGAGTATATAGCGACCCCGGTCTTTTCCCATTTGATTATTGTATCTGGACTTAGGTTCCGTAGATTCTGTCATTGTATAATTGTTGTTGTTGTCCCTTATTTTCTCATTTGGACTTGTAGGATGTGTTGGGCAGGTTTGTTTCAGGTTGGTTGGGTTTAGAAACCAAGTGTTGCTGTCCGGAATTTTGGATCTTAGCTCGAGCGAGGAGTTTGTCGCTCGAGCGAGCTGTTATTTTTGGTTCTTCGCTCGAGCCGGGGTTTGGTAGCTCGAGCGAGAGTTTGCGTCTGATTTGGACCTGTAGCTTTGCATTCTTGGCTCGAGCGAGCTTTTCTTCGCTCGAGCGAGTTAGTTCATTCTTCGCTCGAGCATTAGTTCCTTCGCTCGAGCGTGAGTCTGGTTTCAGACCTGAGGGTTTGAGTTCTTCGCTCGATCGAGTTTTCTTTCGCTCGAGCACCCTAATCGAGCGAGGATTGCGTTTTGTAGTCAGGCCTGAGAGCTTGCATTCTTGGCTCGAGCGAGATTTTCTTTGCTCGAGTGAGGATTTCTTGTTTCTGGTCGCTCGAGCGACCAAGTCTTCGCTCGAGCGAGCCTGTCAGGTTAAAATAGGCAGCAACGTGTTTCAGATCAGTTTTTCATTTCCTTTCAGATTCCAAAACCCTTGGTACGAGTTCTCTCTCCCTCTACACACCTTCTCTCTTGGGATTGATCTATTTAGAGTGAGTTTCTACCTTAGATCTTTTATTAAAAAGATAGAGTGGGTTGAGGGCTTCCATTTAATCTGAATTGTTGGTAGTTTGGAGCACTTTGGAGTTTGGGCATTCATCTCCATCTTCTCTTTTGGGGTTATTTCTTTGAGGTAGGGATTTCCTACTCCATTTTATAAGTTTTGTTCTAAGTTATAGTATTTTGATATGTTGGGGGTTACTTTGATAATTTTGGGAAAACCCTAGTTGTTTAAATTAATTAATTTGTGTAATTAATTTAAGGGGATTGGGGAATTTGGTTAAATTCATGAAATTGGGAAATATATTGTTTAAATGGTGTAGTTGGATAATGTAAATCACTCGCCCATTGAATTGTTGTTATATTTATTTCCAGTCTAGAAATAACTGTTTTGGGCTATCGGTGGAGGATAGTCGTGATTGTTGTAGACAATGCATGTGGATTAGGTATAACTGAAACTAATCACATTGGTTGAGTCATTAATTTTGACAGTTGAATTAATACAGACATTATGTGTATTGATTGTGTGATGTGTATGTTATGTGTTTACATACTTTGTGTTGTGTGGGAGGAGATAGGGGATATACTCCACGGTTTAGGGGAAGATAGGGGATGGACCTCTAAACCGGATTTTGTTTGGGAGGAGATAGGGGATGGACTCCATTAGCATCACTTTTATGTGTGCTTATTTTATAGAAGTGTTTTATTGATACAGCACTAAAATGTGTATCAATCTGGAAGTATGAAGTGTTTTGATTTGAGCTTGAGTCTCATTTGTTTGTTGATATTGGAAGAATGTGAATATGATACATATATAATTCACTGTTGTGAGTTTGGCCAGGTTCTGAGCCATGTTGATAAAATTGAAAAGGTAAAACGTATCTTAGACAATAGTGTCATGAGACTGGAAAATGAAGTAATTGAATATCTTGGTTAACCATCTGTTGAATGCTATTGCTTTATTCATTGCTTATATGTGGTTTAGTATATTTCTACTGGGCTGTGGCTCACCCTTTATGGGAACATCATTTTCAGGTACAGGTGATAAGTTACCTACAGGGACTTAGCTTGCGAGGGTTTGGTTTCTGGATTTGGAAGAAGACTTTCATTAGATAATGTTTTTCATTGTTAGTACATGTAAACACTCAAGCCTAGGGCTTTATTTATATTTGAGTTAGAACTCATACTTTTGTGTCCAAGTGTTGGCTTGGAAAGATGTAAGCCGTTAGGGCATTTGATTTGATGTTACATGTAATGCTTTTGTTTAGTAAGACTCTGATGAATATTATAATGAATTATTGAAGTGTTTTCTTTAAATAATGCATGTCATTGATATATATAATGGGTTAATTTTTAGGGCGTTACACTCGTTCGAGCGAAGGATTGGTCGCTCGAGCGACCAAACACAAGGAACTCTCGCTCGAGCGTAGAAAGTCTCACTAGAGCCAAGAATACGAAGCTTCAGGTTTGCAACCCAGAAGCACGCTAGAGCGACAGAATTCTCGCTCGAGCGAAGAAACTCAAAACATACACCTCGCTCGCTCAAGCGAAGGAAATCTTGCTCGAGCCAAGAAATGCAGCTCTCAGGTCTAGAATCAGACGTAGACGCAAGCTCGAGCGAAGGACTTCTCGCTCGAGCCAACATATACAAAACTCAACTCTCGCTGGAGCGAAGGAACCCTGGCTCGAGCGAAGGATCTAAAACACAGAGCTCGCTCGAGCGACAAAGTCCTCGCTCGAGCGAAGACACCAAAAACTGGGCAGCAACCATTTGCTCCCAATCACACCAAACCTGTAACAAACCTGCCCAACACATCCTATAACTCAAAAATAAGGAATCAAAGGCTGAAATCACGATATATACAACAACAAGCTCCATGGAACCAAAGGTGGATACAACAACCAAATGGGGAAAGATCGGGATCGCTATATTATTTCCAATATCAAAAAGCAACCAAAAAAATGCTTGACAGAGAAACATACATAAAATCAGAAGCTCATGGTTAATAATAACATTTGTAAAAATAAACATATAAATGATAAGCAATACAACCAATTGCCATAGAGTGTTATTAGCAAGAGTCCATCATATCAAAGACGTGGAAGTCAACAGCTATGGCATGCTTTTAGGACATGAACTGAAACATAAACTTTAAACTTATTGACAAGTATAGCTAGTACTGTACTGCCCACATCATCACTTCTATTCAATATGTACTTTGAAAATATATTTATTTATTTTTTCTCAAGTAACTCACAGAGTGTATCTAGAAAATGTTTTGCACCAAATTACCATAACATAGAATCTAAAACCGTGGTTGTCAATCAAATTAAACAAATCAAAAAATAATTGCCACCAACACATAAAATTCCCATCAAACTATAACTTACAGCTATGTATGATTGTTGCTTTTATTTTGAGAAATATTATGGATACCCTTCACATCCATTGGTAGCAAAGTGTCATCCAAGTTGAATATGCCGTGTGAAATTCTTCCAAAACATAAAAAAAAATACAATAAAAGGGTCAACACTACAAAGGAAAATCCTAACATACGTTGCAAAAGAAATTAGAAATGGTATTCTATTGTTATATATTCGATTGAAAATGAATTGCTATTACTGGTATACTTTTCAATTAATTAATACGAGCTAAATTGTTATTTGTGTTTGATAAAACATATTTTAGGTGGAAGGAGAAGGAGGTTTTTTTTTAGCCTTCAGGAGACAAGGTACAAGCTTGAAAGACATTTTGGAGAAATTTGTTGATGTAAAGAAATTTTATGAGGATAATCGAATTACACCTTTCTACCAAAAGATTTTGACGTGAGTACTAGTACTTAAAATTTAGTATTTCATGATACAAATAATTATAATTCTTTTAATGCTTATTAATAAATATTTTTACCAATGCAGTGACTTACTTCTAGTGGTAAGGCATTTGATGGATACCATAGTCAAGTGCACACTTGATCTGTCAGACATTTATATTTTGAATGGTGGACATGTTATGATGACAAATTTTAAATTGAGAGGTATGGCAAAATGTAAAATTTATTGCTTACCAAAAAAATTGTATAATTTATTCTTATTATACAATTATTAGTGCATACGAGTTTCTCTGTCTAAATAGAAAAATGTTTGGGGGCCCAAATTCTGTGGCTCAAATGTGGCTCAAATGGCCAAAACGACGTCGTTTTGGCCATTTTGATGTTGTTTTGTACTCAAAACGACGTCGTTTTGGCCATTTGAGCCACATTTGAGCCACAGAATTTGGGCCCTCTACCATTGCTCGTCTAAATAACATGATTTAATTGCAGGTTGTCCTAGTTCAATTTCTGAATGGAAAAAATTAGCCGTGGTTGTGAAGGCTATAAATGAAAGTACCAATTATGAAGCAAACATGGAAATGAATATTTTTATAAATTATCTTGAAAGTGAAAATGCAAAGTAAGTGCCTTATTAGATTTTTACTTTATTTATTATTTATTTTTATCTTGACTCTTACTAGCAAAGTTATTTGGGGAGCAAAATGAATCATTTGGATGATAGTGTAGGTTCTCTTATATTGTAAACTAATAAATTTGGCTTTTGTAGCAATGGTATTATACATGTTTTTTAAACTTGATTTAGGCCCAATTACAATAAATAAAAGTTCAAATTTTTACTGATCGTTACACCTTTGGCTATGAATCTTTTGTGTAGAAAATTCTGAACTTGATCTCATAATCTCGGCATGTTTTCCCTCTTTGTATCTTTGACTCCCTATTTAGATTTTCTCTTCTTGGATTTCGGTAGTTTCTCTATGTATGAATTTTCTCTTCTTGTATTTCTGTAGTTTCTCTATGTATGAATATATGCTTTGTGTCTGCTAGGTGTTTGATAAAATGCCATAAACAGTATTTGTGTCTCTTTGTCTCTGTGTCTATCACTGTCTCTACTCGGCTTTTGTGTATTTTGTTGTAAATATTTATTTTCTTTATGTTTTATTTTTATCTTGATTGAGTTGTTGAAGCCATAAGCAAACATATATAGAGTGTCAAAATTCATAGCTGTGAAAGTGAAACATTGAATGCTATTGTACTGAAGTCTTTTTAAATATAAACTTGTGTTTCATATTTCATGCTAAAGTTATTTGGAATTGGATGATCTTTTCAATAAATATATAATATATAATATTTGTGGCGATAAATCCGAAACGGTACCTGAAATTTACCAATACCGATACATACCGTACAAATGGAAAAACCGGTACATTGTCTAGTATGAGATTAACAAGTTTGAACGATATTGGTACTGTTAATAATAATAAAATAAGTGACAGTGGGAAGGCAAGCCACTGTCCACCTAATCCACTTAGGATCAAAACCCAACTTGGCCATCTTGTAAACAAGGCTTTTCTACTCTATCGTAAGTTTTTGTTAAATCAAGTTTGAAAGCAATGAATTGTACCTCTTATTCTAAAGATAATGCTCTATTTCTAGGGCACTGAGAATGCTATAAAATATTTGTTGCCCCTTCTTGAATGCTCATCGGAACTTAGTAATAATGACATGCATTACATTGCTCAACGTGTTGGACATAACCTTCACCACAATCTTGTAAACAACATTACATAGAGAGATTGGTTATAATGGGTGAACTTTGTTGCAATCTTGTAAACAACACTACATAGAAAGATGGACTATAATGGGTGACTAGAGAGGAGGGATTTTGATCTTTAAACTAGTGCAATGTGTTTATAATTCATTGTTTGTAACAAATGACCTGAGTGGAAAAAGCTATGGATTGGACATGAAAAATTAGCACCCACCACATCCCAAAAATGTTGGAAAAAGGCCGAATTCGTGCCATCAAGTTTGATACATATCAAATAGAGCGATTGGTTGCTCCACTTGATCACTAATAGACTTCTTCACTTGACTATGTAATTTGTCTCTATAAGTTACCTACTCGTAGCGATATTTGTTTCTGTCTTTGTGCATATATATTTCCAATTTATTTATTTATTTATTTTTTTAAAGAAGAAAGTCTTCATCCATCATTAACATTACAAGTCAAAAAATTTATAGGTGTAATTTTAATTTTTTATTAGTTGTTTGTCAAACAATTTTTTTCAGACCATTGTCTAATTTGTTGCCGAAAAAATTAAGTGACTTGAAAAATCAAATATAAGTGTTCAAATATTTTTGAGTTTAAATTTTAAATTTGGTTGAGGTTCTTTTCTCATGGAGAGATGCAATTGTGTTATAAAATTTTTGGTAAGGGATTGATAGATGATTAATTAAAATATTTGAATAGTATTGGTAGGTATTTATAACAATTATTTTCATAGTTATGTTCTTATTTTTGCCATTTTTCTTGTAGGTGTTTTACTGACTTATCCAAACTGCCTCTCTTTTGGACACCAGAAGAGAGAGGATTATTTCCTCGTGCTGTTTGGGACTTCATAAAAGCAAAACCTTCTCTATCTAGTGTGATAAATAGCTCACCTTTCGAAGGAAGTGTCAATGTGTTTCAAAACGATCCTATATTGAGGCAACTAAAGCAGGGTGTGGACAATTACGAAAGTCAATTCGGAAAGGATCCAGATGAGTTTTCTGGTTTCGATATAGCTGAAACTGAAGTTAGGAACACCTTGGGCATAATCAGGAAGTGCTTGTCCCACTTTCACAAACAGAACATTACAAGCTTGGTAACAATTTTTTTTTTCCTTCCTTTTTCATGTGATGTACTTTGGATATGATGTACTAAAATATTTGTTTTTTGAAATTATGTTATTTGATAGGGTCTCAAAAATGAAGATGAAGTAGCAAAATATTTTGAAAAATCATTCAAGGACTACATCGGACAACTATATAAGTGGGCACTGATTTTTGAATCTAGTTCACAAGTAAAATTACTTCCGCAAAGGACAATTTTTAGTAAGCTAAACAAGGAACCATGAATGTTGATGTTTTTGTGGTAAGTGGGCTTTTGATTCACAACCAAGAATTTACATTTGTGTAAGACAAGTGTTATGTATTCTGGAGGTCTTGATGAATCTTGTCATCTTGTTTGTTTTGGCTCAATTGACTATCTTTCGTTTATTCTTTAGGCTTCTAGGAGCTTAGAATGATAGCTAGGAGCCATGACACATGAAGCTCAAAATTCGATGAATTCATAAGTTTCCATAAGTAAATGTCAACCTGTGCACATGAATACTTTTTATTAGTTTTCTTCAATTGGTTGAAATTTTAAGCTAATCTTCTGTTTAAACTTAGCTTATTACGCGATACAATCCTTTCATTTCTCCTAGAACATATGCTGTGCTACATATACAATGGAGATAAATGCTCTGGCATATCAGCTAAAATGGGATTGTTTGGAGGGAAACCAGTGGGAGTAGGTGCAGAAGTGAGTCTCAATGGCACCATTAAAGGTGTCCAGGGCTCATCAGGATGTTGTTGGATAGCTAACTAAAGTTTTTATCCATTTTGTCACTTGGGGACCTGTTTTTGTGGCAACAATCTCTAAAGGCGGCCTGTGATTTAATGGTCCTGTTGCTACTATCTTTTAATGTTTTGTAAGATAATGGTTTCTTGAGACTGTGACCTGAATATCTCTTATTGTGAATTGAAATTATGAACCAAAATTTAGCATTATTTGTTTGTAATGTTACTTTTTGATATGAGCCTGGGTCTCATTTGTTTTGTTGATATTGAAAGTAATGTGAATATGATATATAGTTCACTGTTGTAAGTTTGGCCAGGTTCTGAGCCATATTGATAATGTTGGAAAGTAAAACGTGTTTTAGACATTATTGTCATGAAACTGTATAAAGATATAACTGATTATCTTGGTTAACCAATTATTGAATACTATTGCTTTATTCAATGCTTATGTTTGGTTTAGTATATTTCTACTGGGCTGTGGCTCACTCTTTATGGGAACATCATTTTCAGGTTCAGGTGATAAGCTACCTCCAAGGACTTAGCTTGGAAGGACTTGGATTCTGAAGACTATTTTCAGTTGTTTGCTTTTATTTGTTAGTACATGTAAACACTCAAGCCTAGGGCTTTATTTGTAATTGAGTTAGAACTCATACTTTTGTGTCCAAGTGTTGGCTTGGAAAGATGTAAGCCGGTAGGGCATTTACTTTGATGTTACATGTAATGCTTTTGTTTAGTAAGACTCTGATGGTTATTATAATGAATTATTAAAGTGTTTCCTTTAAATAATGCATGTCAATGATATATATATATATAATGGATTAATTCTGAGGGCGTTACAAAATTACTCATTGAATTCTCAGTAAATTACTCAGAACATTAGTTAGTAAATTGCTAAGAAAAGTACTCAGTAAATTCGGAGTAAATCACTCAGTAAATTCTTAGTAAATTACTTAGAAAATTCTCATTAAATTACTCAATAAATTATCAGTAAATTATAAACTAATTTACGTAGAAAATTCCCAATACATTTCCAGTAAATTCTCTGTAAATTACTTAGTAAATTCTCAGTAAGTTACTAATTAAATTCCCTAGAAATTCTCAACAAATTATTCAGTAAATTCTCAATTAATTACTCAGTAAATTCCTAGTAAATCCTCTGTAATTATTTGAAAAATTCGAAGTAAATTTTTCATAATTTCACGGTAAATTACTCAACAAAATATCAGTAAATTACTCACTGAATTCTCAGTAAATTACTCAGAACATTACCCAGTAAATTGGTAAGTAAATTACTCCGTAAATTTCGAGTAAATCACTTAGTAAATTCCCAGTAAATTACTCTGTAAATTCCCAGAAAATTCTCACTAAATTATGAAGTAAATCACTAAGAAAATTCATAATAAATTCCCAGTAAATGACTCGGTAAATTACTTAGTAAATTCTCATTAAATTACTCAAAAAATTCCCAGTAAATTACTCGGTAAATTACTCAGTAAATTCTCATTAAATTACTCAGTAAATGCCTAGAAAATTGTCAGTAAATTACTAATTAAATTCTGAAGAAATTCTCAGTAAATTATTCAGTAAAGTCTCAATGAATTACTCAGTAAATTTCGAGTAAATCCTCAGTAAATTGTTTAGAAAATTTGAAGTAAATTTTTCATAATTTCACTGTAAATTACTCAATAAAATCTCAGTAAATTACTCATTGAATTCTCAGTAAATTACTCAGAATATTACCCAGTAAATTAATAAGTAAATTATTCAGTAAATTCAGAGCAAATTACTCAGTAAATTCCCCGTAAATTACTCGGTAAATTATAATGTAAATTACTTAGAAAATTCTCAATAAATTCCCAGTAAATTCTCAGTAAATTCTAAGTAAATTACTAATTAAATTCCCAAGAAATTCTCAATAAATTATTCCGGAAATTCTCAATTAATTACTCAGTAAATTCCTAATAAATCCTCTGTAATTATTTAGAAAATTCGAAGTAAATTTTTCATAATTTCACGGTAAATTACTCGATAAAATCTCAGTAAATTACACATTGAATTCTTAGTAAATTACTTAGAACATTACCCAGTAAATTGGTAAGTAAATTACTCTATAAATTCTGAGTAAATCACTCAGTAAATTCCCAGTAAATTACTCGGTAAACTACTCATTAAATTCTCATCAAATTACTCAGTAAATTCTCAGAAAATTTTCAATAAATTCCCAGTAAATTCTTAGTAAATTACTTAGTAAAATCTCAGTAAATTACTAATTAAATTCCCAAGAAATTCTCAGTAAATTATTCAGTAAATTCTCAATTAATTACTTGGTAAATTTCTAGTAAATCCTCAGTAAATTATATAGAAAATTCGAAGTAAATTTTTCATAATTTCACGGTAAATTACTCAATAAAATCTCAGTAAATTACTCAGAACATTACCCAGTAAATTGGTAAGTAAATTACTCAGTAAATTCTGAGTAAATCACTCAATAAATTCCCCGTAAATTAGTCAATAAATTACTCAATAAATTCTCATTAAATTACTCAGTAAATTTCCAGCAAATTCTCAACAAATTCCCAGTAAATTACTTAGTTAATTCTCCGTAAATTACGAATCAAATTCCCAAGAAATTCTCAATAAATTATTCAGTAAATTCTAAATTAATTACTTAGTAAATTCCTGGTAAATCCTCAGTAAATTATTTAGAAAATTCGAGGCAAATTTTTCATAATTTCGCGGTAAATTACTCAATAAAATCTCAATAAATTACTCATTAAATTCTCAGTAAATTACTCAGTAAATTCCCAGTAAATTGCTCAGTGAATTAATAAATAAATTCTCATTAAATTACTTAGTAAATTCCCAGAAAATTCTCAGTAAAAGTCCTAGTAAATTCTCAATAAATTACTAAGTAAAGTCCTAGTAAATTCTCAATAAATTACTAAGTAAAGTCCTAGTAAATAAATTCCCAAGAAATTCTCAATAAATTATTCCGGAAATTCTCAATTAATTACACAGTAAATTCCTAATAAATCCTCTGTAATTATTTAGAAAATTTGAAGTAAATTTTTCATAATTTCACTGTAAATTACTCAATAAAATCTCAGTAAATTACTCATTGAATTCTCAGTAAATTACTCAGAACATTAGTTAGTAAATTGCTAAGAAAAGTACTCAGTAAATTCGGAGTAAATCACTCAGTAAATTCCTAGTAAATTACTTAGAAAATTCTCATTAAATTACTCAGTAAATTCTCAGTAAATTATAAACTAATTTACGTAGAAAATTACCAATACATTCCCAGTAAATTCTCTGTAAATTACTTAGTAAATTCTCAGTAAGTTACTAATTAAATTCCCTAGAAATTCTCAACAAATTATTCAGTAAATTCTCAATTAATTACTTAGTAAATTCCTAGTAAATCCTCTGTAATTATTTGAAAAATTCGAAGTAAATTTTTCATAATTTCACGGTAAATTACTCAACAAAATATCAGTAAATTACTCACTGAATTCTCAGTAAATTACTCAGAACATTACCCAGTAAATTGGTAATTAAATTACTCCATAAATTTCGAGTAAATCACTTAGTAAATTCCCAGTAAATTACTCTGTAAATTCCCAGAAAATTCTCACTAAATTATGAAGTAAATTACTAAGAAAATTCATAATAAATTCCCAGTAAATGACTCGGTAAATTACTTAGTAAATTCTCATTAAATTACTCAGTAAATTACTCAAAAAATTCCCAGTAAATTACTCGGTAAATTCTCATTAAATTACTCAGTAAATGCCCAGAAAATTGTCAGTAAATTACTAATTAAATTCCGAACAAATTCTCAGTAAATTATTCAGTAAATTCTCAATGAATTACTCAGTAAATTCCGAGTAAATCCTCAGTAAATTGTTTAGAAAATTTGAAGTAAATTTTTCACAATTTCACTGTAAATTACTCAATAAAATCTCAGTAAATTACTCATTGAATTCTCATCAAATTACTCAGAATATTACCCAGTAAATTAATAAGTAACTTACTCAGTAAATTCGAAGCAAATTACTTAGTAAATTCCCCGTAAATTACTCAGTAAATTATATTGTAAATTACTTAGAAATTTCTCAATAAATTCCCAGTAAATTCTCAGTAAATTCTAAGTAAATTACTAATTAAATTCCCAAGAAATTCTCAATAAATTATTCCGGAAATTCTCAATTAATTACACAGTAAATTCCTAATAAATCCTCTGTAATTATTTAGAAAATTTGAAGTAAATTTTTCATAATTTCACGGTAAATTACTCGATAAAATCTCAGTAAATTACACATTGAATTCTCAGTAAATTACTTAGAACATTACCCAGTAAATTGATAAGTAAATTACTCAATAAATTCTGAGTAAATCACTCAGTAAATTCCCAGTAAATTACTCAGTAAACTACTCATTAAATTCTCATCAAATTACTCAGTAAATTCTCAGAAAATTTTCAATAAATTCCCAGTAAATTCTTAGAAAATTACTTAGTAAAATCTCAGTAAATTACTAATTAAATTCCCAAGAAATTCTCAGTAAATAATTCAGTAAATTCTAAATTAATTACATAGTAAATCTCTAATAAATCCTCAGTAAATTATTTTGAAAAGTCGAAGTAAATTTTTCATAATTTCACGTGAAATTACTCAACAAAATCTCTATAAATTACTCATTAAATTCTCAGTAAATTACTCAGAACATTACCCAGTAAATTGGTAAGTAAATTACTCAGTAAATTCTGAGTAAATCACTCAATAAATTCCCAGTAAATTAGTCAATAAATTACTCAATAAATTCTCATTAAATTACTCAGTAAATTTTCAGCAAATTCTCAACAAATTCCCAGTAAATTACTTAGTTAATTCTCCGTAAATTACTAATCAAATTCCCAAGAAATTCTCAATAAATTATTCAGTAAATTCTAAATTAATTACTTAGTAAATTCCTAGTAAATCCTCAGTAAATTATTTAGAAAATTCGAAGTAATCTTTCATAATTTCACGGTAAATTACTTAATAAATTCTCTATAAATTACTCATTGAATTCTCAGTAAATTACTCAGAACATTACCCAGTAAATTGGTAAGTAAATTACTCAGTAAATTCTGAGTAAATTTATTTTGTGGGATCGACGGGTTCTTGTGGCTCGTAGAGGTAATTCTTGTGAATAAGTTGAAAGAGAGA